TTACTTGCTGGGCTAGATAATGTTGTTGTCACTAGTAAAAAGATAAATAACTTGGGGGGGGGGAGGTCTTAAGAGTTTGAGAGTAAGAAAGAGAACTGCAGGGGTGACAGCAGTGGTAAAAATCCCTAATATTTTATTTAATTTACAGCCAAAACTCTTGATACATAAGTTTGTATGTATTGACTCAGATGCAAAAAAAGAAAAAAAAAACACTTTGTTTTATAAATATCAAAGTACATGCTTAAAGCTAAATTTCTACTAATTTATTCCACAGTATTTAGCTTGCCTAGGATAGCTCATAAGTTATTCATTTATATGCTTTTAAAAATACAGAGCCTTATTTTTACTGACTTGTTTGAAGTTTGCAAAAATTGAAAAAAATACTAATAATTATGAAAAAAATTGCATTCATTAGCATTTTGTAAAATACTGAAACTTTCAGCCCTATGTCCATTCATAGATTAAAAAAAAATAATTGTAGGAAAATAAAATAGTGAGAAACCAAACATTACAAAAGGTGGTTTAGCTCTTCTTGAGATAAATACTAAATCGGTATACTATGTAACACTAGGCTGTATGCAGGCAAATTATTTTAATGTTATTACTGGGCAAATATACTTACTACATCTTGAGGTCCATCCTTTCTTAGGCAGAAATATAACATGTACTACATGGGAGTGGACCCTAAGTGCAAGAGGGAGAGCATGCAAAATTGGTCCTTGCTTCCTCACTCTTAACCACTTACGAGGAAATCGTGCAGGTGGGGAAGGTGCGCATGGTGAGGAAAGCTTCAAGGAGAGGGGGATGGCAGTGTTCAACTTTACAAACTGCCATGAAAAACTTAGAGGGTGTTTTGAACTGCGTCTTAACTGTTACTGGAACTAATAGCGGAACCCATGAAAATAAGCGTGGGGAACCAAGTCCTAGTTCCCTGTGTGCTAGCAGAGATGGCCAGGGCAATGGGAAAAACAAGATGTTCGAAAGACAGTTGCTACCTGTTTGTGGCTCCCATTCATCTCAAGTGCGTGCCCCATCTTTGTAAGCCCTTTAAAAGAGTGCTTGACCTGTTGGGGGTAAGATGGAGTTTGACTAGTGGCCACAGTAATTAGAAGCAGAGCAAAGTGAAATTCCATACGACAATATTTTCATGGGATGATTTAATTGAAACTAAATGATCGAGTTATCAAATACCTATAAACTTTAACTTTATTTCATTAAATTTATATGGCCTTGAAATAGAATGATAAGTTATTGCTATCTTCAATAACCTTGGAAGATATGCGGGCTTGTGAATAACCCCACTTTTCATGTAGCAGCATGAGGCCAAAAGAAAAAACTTTAAAATTCTACCATATTGGGCTCTTCAGAGTATGTTTTCCTTAAAACAGGGTGGCTCTGTCTGATCTTAGCATCTCTCTACTCTTCCCTAGGGCTGATCTCTAGGCTCTTAAAAATCTACACATACCAGTCTTAAAAGCTCTGAAAAGCATTCGTCCCCAAGTATCTTTTAAGAATGATATATATTTTGTAGTTTGGACTCTTCTTTCTCCCTGTTTTCCTTTTTTCCTCCCTCCCTTCCTTCCTTCCTTCCTTCCTTCCTTCCTTCCTTCCTTCCTTCCTTCCTTTCTTTTCTTCCTTTCTCTCTTTCTTCTTCCTTCCTTCCTTCCTTCCTTCCTTCCTTCCTTCCTTCCTTCCTTTCTTTCTTCTTTCTTTCTTTCTTCTTTCACTTTTTTTAAATTTTTTTCAAAAAGAGCATGGCAAATTCCAGCACACTGACTTGGGGTTTTTCTTGCCCCAGAAGACCAATCAATTTCATAGATATTTAAGATTGATTCCACACTTTGTTTTCCAGGAGAATGCCTGCATTCTCCTCTAAGGAAGAGCAAGTGAATTTTTTTTTTTCACCCCCGTGGGATTGGACCTCAAGAAGTAAGTCTAAAAAATAGAGAGCGTGAATGCCCCAGTTGTATTAAGCTTAGATTCAAATTATTATGTTCACTTGAAAAAATGATTTCCCGGGGGCCTTTTGGCAACTTCCCTTTTCAATGTAGAGAAAAACTTAGTCACCCTGAAAACCTACACAATAAACGAAACTTGTAGATGTGGGCAGGAGGTTTGGGGGTGGACATTGTGTGTGTTTAAATTAAACCCTTTATCACTGAAAGCTGTTGTATGGGTCAGAGAGGATGAATGCTCACTCAGAAGCTGTTCACATCTTCAAGAGCAGAAGCAAACCACATGTCTCAGCTCTATTATTTATTTTTTATGCATAAAGTGCATCATTTCTTCTGTATTAATTTCCAGTGGGTTTTACCCTCTATTTAAATGCTTTGAAAAACAGTGCATTGACAATGGGTTGATATTTTTCTTTAAAAGAAAAATATAATTATGAAAGCCAAGATAATCTGAAGCCTGTTTTGTTTTAAAACTTTTTATGTTTTGTGGTTGATGTTGTTTGTTTGTTTGTTTGTTTTTATTTTTTATTTTTATTTTATTTTATTATTTTTTTTGTTTTGTTTTGGCATACTACATGCAGTTCTTTAACCGATGTCTGTTTGGCTAATGTAATTAAAGTTGTTAATTTATATGAGTGCATTTCAACTATGTCAATGGTTTCTTAATATTTATTGTGTAGAAGTACTGGTAATTTTTTTATTTACAATCTGTTTAAAGAGATAACAGTTTGATATGTTTTCATGTGTTTATAGCGGAAGTTATTTATTTCTATGGCATTCCAGCGGATATTTTGGTGTTTGCAAGGCATGCAGTCAATATTTTGTACAGTTAGTGGACAGTATTCAGCAGCGCCTGATAGCTTCTTTGGCCTTATGTTAAATAAAAAACCTGTTTGGGATTTATTTTTTATTTTTATTTTTATTCTATGTCTTATTGGTTTTCCAAGATCAACTTGGCACACACACTGCTACACCCTTCGCTGGGTGATAATTTCATTTCTCCTGTAATTCTTGGGAAAAGTATGAGACACAGACTGAATGGAAGAGAGAGGGGACCAAAGCTGGAACAGGAGAACTGAGGGAGGAAAAGAATAACTATTGCTGTG